ATTTAAAATGTTGACGCTTTCAGTATCTTCAGAAATATATGAAAAGGGGAATGAATTTTCCCAAAATCGTTTCTATTTAATTTATTTGAAATATGATTTCAAAATATACTACACATTGACGTTGCTACATTTATGGTTTGTTCGTACAGTCTGTTTGCTGACAATCAGCAAACTGATAGTCGACGACAAGTCATGACCTAGTTTACTCAGCTAGCTGTCACTGACACGCCGCTGACTGTATGAATTGCATACATGAGAACATTACGAGGAAGCTAAGACCGATTACCGATAACTAATCCGCTGTTCGTACAGAAACTTCTGACTGCTTGATGACTGTCAAATTAGTCAGCAGATAATTTTCCAGTAAATTGTCAGAGCTCTAAATCAAGTACAATAATTATTCGAATGTAACAGTTTTCAGAAAGATGTAGACAATTTTGGAAAAGTTCGGACATGTTCATTTGCTGTAAACCAGAATGATCTAGGATTTATCGTCCAACTACCCGAATGTGCCCGAATTTTCCTCTAGAGAGGAAAACATGGGAAACTTTCTAGAAAAAATAACAGCACCCAAGAATGGCATGTAGATTTACTCGGTAATTCCCATTCAATTCACATTTAAAAAGTATAACCATGAATTCGAAGAAATTATTGCACACATCGAATGAAAAGTTGAAGAAGTCAATATTAAAAATGTTGAATAAACGTCTTCATCTATTTGTATATTTTAGCTAAGTCCAACCCAAAGCAGATAAAAAACGAATCTGGAGATTTTGTGATACAGTTCCTGTTCACGGATGCCCACGGAGGGAGTAGCGGACTGTTTCTGCTAGGGTGAAAATAATATTTTCCCTATACAGGGTATTTCAAATTCGACACTCACCATTGGGATCCTGGAAACTTTAATTGATACGAAGTCGCTTAAATAGGGGCAAAGTTGCATATTCAGATAATAAGCAAAATGACGCTTAGAAGGTTTTGAAATTGAAATTACTTTTGGAAAAAGACGTAAAAAACGAAATTTCCCAAAATGGTTTTAAATGTTCTCCTAACTTTATTTGTGGTCGGATTTCAAAATTTTTCACCTCTGCCACGTTTTCTTCTCTACAAGATGGCACAATTAGAATTTCAATTTGATGTTTCGTCTCTTGTCCTCCAGCATCAACTTATTTTTTTCTTATAGACGCCACATTGGATTTTTACACACTTGAATAGAATTTTTATTATGATTCCAAAAACTTATATGTCATACATTGACATTGCGAAACCTTAGTTATTCCAGAAGTTCCTTGAACCTATTAGATTTCATTTGTTTGCATAGCAACAGAGTTTGGAAGACCTCTGCTTATTTATGGTTATTATTGTTATTACAATAAATAAAATTTTCATTTAGTGTTCAGGTTTCAACATATCTTTTTATTTCCTTACAATTTTCATCCACTAACAAATTTCTGGCCAATTATCGAAATACATCACTGAATTTAGGACTGAAAAGTCCATTTAAATGTAGAAAATTAAAATATAGCGTACGTATGAAAAAACAAAGTTGATGATGGAAGTGAAAAGAAGAAATGTCGAATTGAAAATTTGATTACGCCATCCTGTAGAGGAGAATAAGTAACAATGACAATATGCAATTTATTTTGAAATCCCATCTCAAATAAGGTCAAGAATAAATTCAGTGGTTTTGGGATAAATCTGGCGAGCGAAAAAATATCTGATAATTTCAAGGCCTACTTAAGAAATTCTGTTTTTTTTTGGAGAAATTAAGATTTGGCAACATCAGTGTATGAAGTCTTATGCATTTTTGGAAACAAAATTCAAAACTACTCTGTAGAAATGATAAAGTTGATGCTGGAGAACAAGAGACGAACCGACATATAAAAATTCTGATTATGCTTTCTAGTAGAGGAGAAAACGATGCAATGTTAATGTGCAATTTATTCTAAAATCCCAATATAAATAAAGTCAGGAAAAACCAAAGCGTTTTTGGACAAATTCAGTTTTTCCGTCACTCTCTGGAAGTACTATGAATTTCGAAACTTTATAAGTGTTATTTTGTTGACACCCTATATATGCAGACTCTCACTAGAAGAAAGAAGTAAAAATAATACAAGCATTTAATAACGTCTTTGAATAACAAAGTGTGTTATACACTAAAAAGCGAAAACGACTGAACATAACTAAAATATTAAGATCTGTTTACACAGCTATAAGTTCCACAGAGTTCCCAACATGGACAAAAAGAACTGATACTACGAAAATACATAGAAGTAAGTCTTAAATGGCATAATTTCGCATTTTGCAACTGTAACAAAATTTTTCGAAAGATTAGTGATCACAAAAAATCGTATTAATTATGGTTCTTGAAAGTTTTGGCCTCTATTGTTCGTATTCTTCATACTGTATGAATAATCTTCATTTTGCCATTACAGGATCAATAAACAAAATATTGAGCACGAAGCACCTTGGTGCTGTTACAAAAACTTGCTGTTGAATTGTGGCACTGTTTTCTCCACAAAATTCAGGTTTTTGAGTTTGATTCTCTCCTCCACTAGTTCTTCAAGGTCTTTATGTTCTTGGTATATCGCTCATTTTTTTTAACCGAAGCAGCCGCGCAGGTGAAGCCTACATGCCAGGGCACCGCGGCTGCTATGAGCAGCTCAAATAACTTTTTTATTCCTATTTTTGAATTGCCTAAGGTAAATAGAACTGGGAAAAGCTCCTCATGTAGATTTTTCCACGATCTCGACACCCTCGGGACAAAGGAGCGGTCTTATCGGCCACTTCTGGATGTACGACGTCGACACGGTTAGGATGGGAGGCCGAAGTCAGGAGGGTCTGTCTGGCAGGCACATCGCGTGACTACACCATGGAGGAGAGCTCTGAGGAGTGAAGCCCGTTGGCTTAGCTAGATCGCCAACGGCTCGTCGGTGCGAAGATGTCCCCAGACCGTCCATTAGAGAAGAGTAATCGATCATTAAATGCCTTTTGCAAAGCAATTTTAGTCCTTAAGATAGTTTCGACACACTCTGATACCTGTCACTGCCACTCATTAATTGGTGTCCTTTGATCTGTCAGAAGGTTCTGTACGAACAGCGTATTAGCTGTCGGCAAACAGTCAGAAACTATACAAACAGGTAACATCTGTCTAATTCTGATTTTGACAGTAACCGACTACTGTACTAACAAACCTATAATCTCTGCAGGGTGGCATAAATAGAACATTTATTTGATTTTTCTTATGTATGCCATTTTAGCATAGACTGGTAGCTTTCAATTTTGATTTATAACATCATAGCATGTCATTGAAATTATGATATAGTCATCTATTTCATAGTATATCAAAGACGCTAACATATTACGCATTGATATAAAACCTCAAGTGCCTAACTTCATATAGTTAGCTTAATCTCATCGAATTAGAAACAACATAACCTAACTCATTTATATTATTTAAGGGTTATAATGAAGACATCGAAATCGGTAAAACTGAGAGCTGAAATCAAAATTCTAATCATACCACCGTGTAAAGTGAAAGTGGTGATGTTATTATGATGTAGATGTTCGAAAAGTTTTATCAGGAAAAATAAAATCGACTTAGAATAAATGCGGAAATACTTTGAATTTCCCAACTCTCCAAATTCCATTTCTTTATTTGCCTACACAACTTACCCCCATAAAGTACTCGTTTAGGCAAAATTCACAAGATCAATATTTACTGTGATTTGTCAATATTTATTATGAGATGTGATATTTATTGGCCGTGAGGCCTGGGCGTCAGCAATTATTGATGCATAATGTTTCGCAGAAATACACTGATTGTATGGACCACAGTACATATTGATCGTGTGACATTCGCTTTACCGTTTCCGAGATCCCAAAGGCGAGGCTCGAATTTGAAACATACGTTACATATATAGTGCTTTTAGCAAAATTAAGTTAATATCTAACATAGATTTCAACTAAATTTCTCATCTAATAGATATTGATTCAGCTTGAATAATTTATTTTTTCTAAAAAATGTTCTCCATTTAATTTTAGCCGAGCTAGGGAATGGGGGGGGGGGCAGCTGCCACCCCTTGCTTCCTCTGGGTATGCCTTTGAATGTAGTATACGCTTTCATCTTGACCGCAGAGATGTTGGAGACAAAAAAAATCTTGTTCCCTCTGTCCTGTTTAAATTTGTTGGGACAGCGCAAGTGGCAATGGGTATACTAAAATCTTATAAAATCTAAATGACGATTTTATTCAAAATTCCAACTTTGAGATTTCTATTCGACATTTCAGATGCCCTTAGATCCTTTTTAAAAAATGTATGTTACTCTTTATGAGCCTGAGCGTCTAGAGCAGAGTTCCCAAACTTTTTTGTGTCGTAGACCCCTTGCCATGTTTTTCCGTGTTGGGTAGACCCCCTACTTACCTGATATTGATCTCCTGTAAATTTCTAACCGTAGTGAAGTTTAGTGTTAAAAACTTAAAGTAAAAACACGTGTTAATTTATACATTTATTAATTGAATTTAAATTAAAGCTACTCAAAATAAAATTTTGTATCTGTTATTTAAAATATACGTAACATTAAATACACAGGTGTCTGACCAATAAGTGCCCGCACTGGGAATAAGTGCCCGCATTGAAAAAAAAATAAGAGGGAAAAAATAAAAAAAAAGTGAAAAATAATAAAAAAAGTGTTTTACTTAGAATAGTACAATAAGCGAGTTCGTTTATTGATTATAACATAAACGTATGTTCTACAATAATTTCACTGTTAGTTTGATTAAATTCCGCTTCTTATACGTTTAAGTTATCTAAAAATAGGCAAAAAATTAACGAATTTTAGTGTATACCTATCCTTGAATTTTCAGAATAATTTAAAAAAAAATATTTTCTATAACGGGGAGTTCTTTAAAAAAATCAATGCAGGCACTTATTCCCAATGGGGGCATTTATTGGTCAGACACCATTAAACATAAAATAAACTATAAATAAAATAACATAAGCAAAAAGTCAATATTTTTAGTGAGAAGGATGAACCTGATGCTTTAATAATAAATTATCAACATTTGGCGTCAATCATGTAAGGGTTAATCTTAAATCTCCTCGGCTAATGATGTCCAGTCTGTTTCTTTTTTTCGTTAGGAGATTGATAACAGCGCTGAACCCCCTTTCCACTAGGTATGACGATGGGAAGGAAATTAAAAATTTCCTCGCTATATTCCATAATACGGGATAAGTAACGGGTATGTTGTTTTGCAGCCAGAATTGCTGATATCCGTTTTTAAACTGAATCTTAAGTTCTCAGTTTGTACTTAGTTCAGTCAGTTCCTCTTGTATTATGACATTCGTTTCTTCTATGTCACCATATGGATTATTTATCCACGGTGGTATTACCATAGTCAAAATATCCTCAAACCTAGATTCAAAATCTGAATAGAGGGCATTTAAATGTTGAACGTAAGTTGAAACGTCGTCGTCTTCCTGGCAGCTTGTCTGTGACAAATTGGGGAACTGAGAAAATTCGCCCCGTCCAATATTTTGCTTCATTAGTTTAACTCTGGCAAGAAACGCTGATAAGATGGACTTTGTTTTAATCAAATTTAAACTGTCGCCTTGTAATTGCAAATTAACCATATTAAATTTTGTAAACAAATCTGTTTTCCTCTTCATTAAATTTTCTTTTAAAATTTTACCTTTAGTATCCAGAAATTCGAAAATAGTCTCAAAAAGTGCAAAAAATCTTGTCAAACATAAGCCTTTCGACAGCCAGCGTACTTCAGTGTGAAGGAGTAATTGATGAAAGTGTTCGTCATTTTCTTCAAACAACTGCGCAAATAACCGCGTGTTCAACGCGTTGCTTCGGATTTGGTTTACTGCATCAATGACTAAATGAAGTGATTCATGCAGTCTAACACTCAAATTTTTAGCAACTACATGTTGTCGATGGATGACGCAATGTATTGCTAACACCCCTGACACATTTTGTTTTAAATAGCTTATAAATCCACGATAACGTCCAACCATGGCAGGTGCTCTATCTGTAGCTACTGATATTATATTTGATAAATGAATTGCTTTTTCAATGAAGTAATCCTTCAAAACATGAAATATTGATTCACCTTTAGTGTCGGTTATCAAAGTTCTTGCGAAGAGCAGTTCTTCGTAGATTTCTTGATTCATAATAAAACGAACATATGCCAATAATAATGCTGCATTATCAGGTAAAGTTGACTCGTCCAGTTGTATAGAGAAATGGGTCGTTTGCAAATAATTACATAAGAAGCTTTCAATATCAGAACTCATTTCATCAATACGTCTTTCAACAGTATTGTTGCTTAAGGGAATTCTGTTAATGATATCAGATGCAGGTTTGTGTAAAACAGTTTTTAAAACCTCTTCAACGGCTGGCAAAATTAATTTCTCTCCGATAGTATGCGGTTTTCCGGATTTTGCTATAAGTAACGAGATATTGTAAGATGCCCGCAAACCATCATCATTTCTTTGTGACGTCGAAGCGAACATTCTGTGCAGTGTAGGTCTCTTCTGAAATTTATCTTTGAGTGTTTGAAAGTATTTCAAATCTTTCTCTGTTTTATCAGGGTGGCATCTTCTCAGATGATCTTGCAGTTTAGATGGTTTCATAGCGTCATTGCCCAAAACTTTGTTGCATAAAAGGCACATAGGCGATTGTTTGTCGGGCAATGATGGAATGAAGCCAAATTTCAAATAATCAACACTGTACTGTCTACATTTCTTTTTAGATTCGGACATGGTATCAGTCATTTGTGGGCAAAATTAAATTATTTAAATAAGACAGAAAATCCAGCAGCTGTATATTAAAAATATTTTTTGATTTTTCCGAAAACATTCCATAATTCGAACATCTTCTTGCAACAATTAGCGCGAATTACGGAGATTGCACTGTAATTATATTACCGATTGCTAAAACTTTCAAAAAGAAACTATTGAGGAGTACTCGTGTAATTTTGCATGATTGAATATGTACTTACTTTTCTCCAGCACTCTCAAACAAAATAACACTGACTCACTATAATTTGTGTGATATACTATCTGTTTATGTTTTTTAAAATATTTTCTTAGCACTTACCTTTTCAAGATTCAGGAAACGAATAAACGTATTTGTCCCATATTCGTATTTATAGAGTGACGAATTGAACAAGTCAGTGCAAGGTAGCGAAGCTCTGAGACTGGGACTCTCAGGTTTTTACAAGTTCAAAATGTATTGCGACCACAAAGCGAATACCAACATCCTACAACTTACACAATTTTATAAAGATATATAATAAATTTTTTACTTCATAGGTACTTTTATAAATAATGTATATGTTTTGATATTATAAGATAGTATGATGTAAGTAAATAGGTACTATCAGTGTATGTGTTGAGATCCACTATCGTGGACCCCCATACTCATTTCATGGACCCTCAAATTTGTTTTCGCTGACGTAGACCCCTTGCAGGATGTCATAGACCCCTAGGGGTCGATATAGACCACTTTGGGAATCAATGGTCTAGAGGGAGGAGAATGCTTTGAAGACAAAAAACCCACGGCATTCATTGCTTACGAAACGGGTAACCTATCAGGTAGCCCCTACTACCCCCCTTGCCTCCCGCAGTAGGCACCCATATGTATAGGACATTTTTCTATAAAATCTTTGGTATTATTTTATGCGTCTGTCTACCGTATCGTGCTATAATCAATATGGAGAAGATAGTTGGCCTTCTATGTCCAGAGTAACGCAAAATATGCAGAGTAGCTACACGGTTTGCTTCATTACATTAGGGTGACTGGACAGATACAGAGGTTGCAGAAGAGCATATGTGCTACAGCAGATTTTCCTCCCTTGCTCAAATATTAGAATACATTTTTCAGGACTTTAAATCAAACCATATATGTTTAAATTATTTTCATGACGACGTTACGGCTACCACGCACCGCGTAAAGTCAGCAAAGCTCTGGATCGGCTGGGGTAGACATTCCCGCTCCTAGAGGATATCTAGCTCAAAATGCTACCAGCGAGCATGAGGTTATCTATTCGTTTTCAATGTATCAAAAATATCCCCCTTTATTATCGTCCCGAAAACGACAAACGTCCTCCGGGATCGCGAAAACATAACTAGAACTGTTGTCGCAAACATACTGGTTGACTGTTATGCAATCTTCGTTGCGTTGTTCATGGAACTGAAATAGAAATAGTATTTCGCTACCTAAAGCGAGCCATGTTGTTTGTCCTGTGAGGAAATAATATAAGACAACAGTGTGGTCTAGAGATGGCGAAGCAAAACTTCTGCGTATTTGAGATCTATTAAAAAACTATAAGAAACCACCTAGAAGTAAAAAATTATGCTCAAGCAGTGGGTATGTTGAATATCAATTATATTTGTATCTCTTCTTCAAGGATACTCCAATCAAATTTGGCAACAGTCTACAGATGAACTTCGAATGCAACTTGTTAGTGATGGCAGACATTTCACGAACTGTAATTTAGTAACTGAAAAAAATGCAATAAACGATTTTGTTATATTCTGGCGGGTATATGGCAAAGCTCCCTATCGAGAGATGGAAAAAATTTCGCCGGCTAACTTTTTTATCAAGCGTCAGAGTTGGAAAAATTACATTTTCGCGTGTATTCAAATAATTATGTACTATTGGTGTAAATGGTCCAAAAAATGTAGCCGATGAAAATACGTTCAAAAGAAGACTTTGAACGACGAATTTTTTTTTTGAAATAATTTATTTAAACACAATAATACAAAAGTATAACAGTTATAACAATAATTCCCTAATCAGTGTTTGCAAACACTGGCCCCGAGAATAACAAGACAATAATTAATATATATGAACTACAGGTACACTGCAATGTTGCCCATAATTTCAACAAATAAATTCATTAACATTTTTACAATCTTTCAATTCTCTAACAAAACTTCTATAGTTATTTGAATCTTTTATACAATGAGGTAAATTATTAAATTTCTTAATTGCGTCTGTGATCGGATTTTTTAAACCTATGTTAGTTCTTGTGGAAATTTGATAAACATTATTTAGTGATCTTGTTTGGTGATCATGCACGTTATGGTAGAACCTAATATTTATGTTACTTTTTAGTAGATTATTTATAATTTTATAAACAAGTTTACATTGTTCCACCTCCAATAACACTCTTAATTTGTTTAAATTTAAATTTGAATAAAGTGTATTAGAACTTGTAAGCCAATCAAAATTAAACAATATTTTCAGAACTTTATTTTGTAAAACTTGAGCTTTATTAAAATTAACTTCACCGCACATACCCCATACTGGCAAGAGGTACCTAAAATGTGTAAGAAAGAAGGCATTATAAATTTGAAATTTGCTTTTGTTGGACAAATAATCTCGACTCTTATATAAGGCAGATAGCATTGAAACTATTTTATCACAAATTCCATTTACGTGAAGTGACCAATTTAAACTTTCATCTATCAGTAATCCCAAATATTTAATACTTGACACTTTTTCTAGCGCTATATTATTTATGTTAATATTTAGATTATTGCTAACTATCTTGTTTTTTTGTTTAAATATAATGTATTTTGTTTTTTCAATGTTAATTTTTAATCTATTCGAAAACAGCCATTTAAGATAACTATTCAGGTCATCATTAATAAGATTCGTTAAAGCAATTTCGTCTGTTCCAGTATATACCAGTACAGTGTCATCTGCAAAGGTAAAATATCTTCCCCTCAGATTGGCCAACTTGAGATTCAGTACATAAAGACTGTATAACAGAGGTCCAAGAACTGACCCCTGTGGTACTCCATAGGTGCTAGATAACCATTCACTATCAATGTCTCCAAGCTTTATGTACTGTTTTCTGTCATATAAATAAGACTTAATCAAGCTGTACAAAACACCTCTAAATCCCATTTTAAACAATTTATCTAAAAGAATGTCTACGCTTACTACGTCAAAAGCTTTTTTTAGGTCAATGAAAACAGCTACAACTATTTGTTGTTTATCTAGAGCCATTGAAATGTAGTCCACAAAATCAACAACCGCACTAAGTGTGCTACTGTTCGTTATAAAACCATATTGAAATTCATCAATCAATATATTGTGAGTAACAATGAAAGATAACATTCTTTTTTTTATTAATTTTTCTATAATCTTAGAGAATACACACACCACTGAAATAGGCCTGTAATTGTTCATACATTTAATATCTCCCGACTTAAAAAGTGGGGTTATTTTAATTATTTTCAATTCTGATGGAAATATTCCATTTTGTATAGTTTCATTGATTAATCGTTCTAAAACAGGTATTAAGTATTCTCCAAGATTATTTACATCCTTAACCGTGATACCGTCATATCCAGGTGCTGAGTTTAATTTTAGTTCTTTCACAACTTCCAACAACTCTTCTTTATTAGTCAATGTTATCGAAATAGAATCTTCGTTGTGAACCTCACCAACAGAAATAAACTCATTCAACTGCTGAATCTCTGCTTCCAAATTTTCAACAATTGATCCACCGACCCGAGAAAAGTATTTATTTAAATTGTTTGCAATATCAAGTTGAGTGTTAATAATGTTATTTTCAGTTACTAGTTGATCAATTCTTACTTTATACTCCTTATTTTTTATTAGGCTATTTATAAAAGCCCATTGTTTCTTTACATTGTTTCCAGCTAAGCTCCATTTAGTTTGGAAATAACGGTTCTTCAAAGCACGTATTTTATTGTTTATTTTATTTTTGATGTTTTTAAATTCAGAGATGATAGTTAAGTCTTCTGGTTGGTTAATCTTTCTTTTATATAATTTATCTCTTTTTTTGATAAGCTCAAGGACTTCATTATTTATCCAGGTGTTATTTGTACGTATTCTTAATTTTTTTATATATACCGATTTACTTTTGCAGTCTTCAATTAAATTAATTAATTCTTGAAAAGTTGTTACATTTTTGCTTAAAATTTTTTGTCTAAATAAGTTTACACATTTTTTATAATCTACAGATTTTACCTCATAATCAACTTTTGGTTTATGGAACTGCACAGATGTTTTAATGCCGTAACTGTTAATTTGTTATTACAAAAAAAAGTCAGAAGTCTATTTCTGCATTTATCTTTTATTGGAAACAAATGAAATACTTATATTATAATATAAATCTTGAATAGAAAAATACGTTTTGCATAAGAAAATCAAACATAACCTACAACAAAAAGCAACGATGCTTTTTTACGTGTTCAGAATAAAAAAATCTGCTGTCTCTTTTATAAGATATTAAACCAAGCCCTTAGCAAGAGAATAAGCCCATTGTGGAGCCATTTGGTTGATCCAAAATCGCTGGACAACTCATCAAAGAAGGCCGTTGTCTTTGAAAAAAATATAGCAATCGGAACATTACAGAAACGGTTGAGCATATTTGAATAAAGTTTTTTCTGAATGTTGAGTGCCACAAAGGCATCAACATTTGACTATTATTTCAGATCTACTGTTATGCATTTCCAGTCAAAAATAAATGTAGAAATCGACGATTTCACACTTTTTTTGTAATAACAAAGTAGTCCTTCGGCAAATTGGCCGTGTAAGGTCTTATTGTTAGATATATAATATACAGGATGTTTCAGTTTATTGTTGCATAACTTTAAGATTCGATAGAACTTTTAAAATTAATGCATAAAGTCTATATAAACATGGGTCAAAAAATGCGTAGCTTCCGAAATACAGGGTGTTTAAATTTACTTTCTAAAATAGTTTTTTTAAAATATTTCGAACAATATTTGATGTATAACAGTGAAAATTGATATACAAGGGTTATTTGGTACGACAAAACGAACCATGGGCATAGTTTTACTGTAGCCGCTTGAGGGCGCTCTCTACTGTACCTGTAGTGTATTAAAATGACCGACAAAATTTTCTTAGTGCAATTTTTTGCTTTCTGAACATAAAAAAGCTCTCTTGTGAATTTTGTGAATAGTTAGCCGTTTTTGAGATATTTCGATTTTTAAGGTTCGATGCATTTTTAATTATTTATGATAAAATAACGTTAAAAAGTCAGTATCTCGAAAATTTTTAGAAGCAGGCTAAGCCTGCATATATTTTTGAAATTGAAAGCAAAATAAGGTTAAACGTCAATTAGTTGACAGTTAGTTTTGTTGCCTGTTGAACCCTGAAACGTGTTTTTGCAATTGTGAATGCACGAAATTTAGTTTCTTTTACCTGTTTTTGTTTTGTATATTTTATAAAAATGCCATTTTTATTCTCCAATCAAGAGTTAGCGGATATTCATTTTGTGTATGGCTTTGTAAATGGAAACGCAGCAGAAGCAGCCAGAGAATACGCACGAAGATTTCCAAACAGACGACATCCAACTCGCTCAGTATTTGTAAGAGTGCATCGCCAAATAATTGAAAATGGTTTTGGAAATCTCCAAAGGGATCAAAACATAAATGTTCGTCAGCGCAGATTTACCTCTATGATTCTGCGTGAGTTTGATAGAGATCCGACCACAAGTGTTAGGAGAGTTTCTGGTACCTTAGGAATTTCAGCAAGCCATGTTCACCGTGTTCTTAGAAATGACCATAGATGTCCTTACCATTTCCAACCTGTGCAAGGACTACAGCAAGGGGACGGGGAACGAAGAATCACATTTTGTCAGTGGATTCTTGATAGAACTGATAATAATAGGGAGTTTTTAAGTAACGGTTTATGGACCGATGAGTCATGCTTCACTAGACGTGGAGTGGTAAATTTTCATAATCAACATATTTGATCGCATGAAAATCCGCATGAAGTTCGGGAAAGACATTTTCAGCATGAATTTAGTGTGAACGTGTGGATTGGTATCTACCGTAATCGACTATTTGGACCCTACCTTTTGCCTGCAAGGTTAAATGCTGCGACCTTCGTGGAATTTTTAAAGGCTGAACATGCAAATATGTGGGATGATGTTATGTTAGATTTAAGAAGATTGGCCTGGTTCCAGCTTGATGGTTATCCAGCTCATTATTCGAGAATAGTTAGAAACTGGCTGGACGAAAATTATCCAGAAAGATGGATCGGCCGTGGAGGACCAGTCGCCTGGCCTCCACGATCCCCTGACCTAGATCCATTAGATTTCTTTGTGTGGGGATTTCTAAAAGAAAAAGTGTACCAGACTCCCGTAACTACAAGAGATATGCTAATAGACAGAATCAGGAATGCATGTGATCATTCGCAGATGTGAATTGTGTATTGAACAATTGGGTTTACATTTCGAGCAACTACTTTAGATTTTTTATGTTTCTCCTAACTATCCAATAGCATTTTAGTTGTAAATAATTAATTTAACTTGTTAAAAATAATATTGGGAAATTAAACAAATTAATATTCTGTTTTTTGTGTTTATTTGGAGTTAGGAATTATTGCTGTATTTAAAAACACAATCTAAACGATCATCTTAATTACTTGTAATGCCCAAATCTAAAATGTAAAAAAATATATATTATATATATTATTTTCCCATAAATAATTAAAAATGCATCGACCCTTAAAAATCGAAATATCTGAAAAACGTCTAACTATAACGAAAACTCACAGGAGACCTTTTTTATGTTGAAAAGTGCGAAGAATTAGTTTTTTTATTCAAAAGCAAAAAATTGCACTAAGAAAAATTTTTCGGTCATTTTAATACACTACAGGTACAGTAGAGAGCGCCCTCTAGCGGCTACAGTTAAAGTATGCCCATGGTTCGTTTTGTCGTACCAAAAAACCCTTGTATATCAATTTTCACTGTTATACATCAAATATTGTTCGAAATATTAAAAAAAACTATTTTAGATGGTAAATTTAAACACCCTGTATTTCGGAAGCCACGCATTTTTCTACCCATGTTTATATAGACTTTATGCATTAATTCTCAAAGTTCTATCGAACCTTAAAGTTATGCAACAATAAACTGAAACACCCTGTATATAGCAGATATCACAGATGATCCAAAATAACGATGTCAGCCAGCCATCTCTATAATCGGATTCCTTCACCTTCTGGTGTTTCAGTAAGACATTTTTTTCCAGCCCGTTCCTCTGGGCGGTCAACCAGTGCCAAAGGTCATCGTCATGGGCAGCAGCACGGCCTCCGAGACAACGATCAACACAAGCACGGACAGCTCGAACACGATCGTGACCACTGTGACAGCTACCGATGGGGATTTGACAGAAGACAGCCTGGACCTGACCGAGCACGTTGAGGACATTTTGGGACAGGAGAATGTGTTGACCGAGGGTGTCAGATCTGGAAACGCCATATTGCAAGTAAGGAAATTATAAGATAAATGGCGTGCCATTGTAGATCATATAACTAGCCGTTTACACCCACTTCATTGGTGCGTTAATACTCGTAAATCATTCTCTGAGCCTACATTCACTTTCTACGTCACTGGCGAGGAGGTATTGTAAACGCGAAAAAAATCGAAATTGAGATATTATACCACGAAAAACCATAATATCAATCAGTTTCGCTAGAATTCGTGTCTGTCCACTAATTCTGGGTCTGTCTATAAGTACCGCTCGGATTTTGATGTAATTTTCATATGTGGTTACTACTATGCTATGCCTAGGGTAAAAAATCTTTAGGTTTTTAAAATCGCTCCAGTAGCAGCGAAGCTGCAGATAAAAATCGAAAAAAAGCATTCCTCAAACTTTTCACGTTTTAGACCCTTAGGATTATTTTGAAAAAATATTTGAATTTTTTGAAAAAAACTACAATTTGCGCTTTTGACCACCCTGTATGAGCAAAAATTAAAATTCGAAAAAGTAACCAATAGGATAAAAGCTGAGGTTTTTTCATACAGATTTCAAAATGTCGGACTGGGGGGTTGCCGAAGTGGGAGGTTTTTCTAAACAAAACTCCTTATAACTCAGAAGCTAATTACCAAAACCCATACCACGCTATATCAATTGTCTTCTTTTGAATTGGTTTATCCAAATATGCAATCAAATTTGAGGCATTCCATTTGAAAAATCACAACTTTAATATGTAGATCGAAATTTGGACACCCTGTATAATGGCCAATGTTTTAGAAATATTCCGTCCACACATGGATGGGCCACCCTGCATATGCAAATGATGATACACACAAGATTATCTATAGTAGCATTTATGTTCACCCGCAGGAATTTGTCTCAGGCGGGAGGGAGAGAGGCATCCTAAAAAGCCCCAAAATTATAAACAAAAGCATGCTAGATATGCACATTTTGATTGTATGAGCCTGTTTGACTGACTTACTAATTTTTGAAATACATGTTCGTAGCCAACGTTTTTCTTAGAGGAGCTAACTTGTGTCAAACATAATTCTTTGTGAACTGACAGCGTTGCATCGGAATTGTAGAGTCACTTTTTTAGTTTAAACTTGTCAGAAAAATATGCTTATTACCCATTCAGGCAGAATGCTGCTTTCTCTCCGCGGTTGTACCAAAAGGCCTCTCAAGAATATATTTCTGTTGTAAAATCCGTCTATATGATTTTACTCTGTACGCAGCTGGCGAGGAAGTATCTTCAAATCGGCTCGGAAAAATATTCCGATTCGGTTGCTTTTGCATAATCTTACTCAAAAATGACCCATTTTCTTGAATATATCTGCATGTTGCCAGGTCCAAAATTGCGTCAAACATATTTTCCATACAAATTTCAAAAATCGTTTTTTCACCCTATACACAGTTTTTTTTTTAGATTTTACTTACTACGCCACTGAGCGAGGAAGTATTGTAATGGCGAAAAATTTGGAAAATGACATATGTTTTTTTTGACATTATATGACTTGTACGAAAAACCATGTCACTTATTTCTGTCGGTCTGTCTTTTGGTTTGTCTGGCAATCCACCCGCTCAGAAATTTGCACACAAGGTTACTATGATGCCAAGCTTGATAGTTTTTGAAAATCGATCCAATAGCAAAGGGCAAAAGTGAAACACAGAAATCGGTCAATTTTTTGTTGTTTAAGAGGATCCTGATCATTTTTGAAAAAAATAAGGGTTAGAAATGACACATAATTTTGATGGATTTATCAGCGCCAGCTAGACAGAGCCGTATTTTGTTTTGGTGCTACAAGCAAGTTTTGCTATATTCACACCCGATTCATTATTGCCATCGTTACAGACTAATACAACGATGTCACTTGCTGATCAGATGTTCACCTCAGTAGACGTGAAATAGGGTTTAGAGTGTATTTTTTGACGTTGGTTTAATCATACACTTCTAGCCGAGATAATTCTACGCATCTATTAGACATATTCCTCTGATCATAGATTTTCCCGTCCATTAATCGAAGGTCCTCCTTGGAAAAATATTTTCGACCTTCGCATGTCGCGATTCTGCTGATGCATGAGTGTAGCAGTCTGCCTCCGCTGCTCGATATGATGTGGACCGTCAATCGTCATAAACGCCAGATGTACAGTAGCGGACAAAAGTTTTGGCAACATTCTTAGTAATTCTTAAAAAGTGTGCTAGTTTTTTATTCTTTATTATTAAGGCTGTTTTTTTTTTCATATAGTTTGCTGATAGTCCTGAGGATACAAATGACAATTTGTGTTTGCTGTGGTACTACAGACTAGCATTAAAATACCTTCATATTATTTTATGACCAAAAATGAGGCGACAAAAGTATGGAAACATATTTTTTATTACAATATCAAATACAATAACTACACAAAAAGATTTAAAAAATACTGTCTGGCAAATATTTGGTAGCATAGCCTTTAACATTCAACACTGCCTGACATCTGCTGCTCATAGAAGACACCAATTTTTTACGGAGGAGATTTTGCCAAATATTTTTTACCTAATCAAATAAATCTCTCTTCTTCATCAAGAATATCTTTGTAAAGTTTTTGATCCATTTTCCCAACAATTTTAATAATTGGACCCGTTCCAGAACTAGAAAAACCGCCCCAAGCCATGATGTTGCTTTCACAACGTTTAACTGTTGGCGACTGATACTTTTTGTCGAATCGTATTGGACGTCTAATATATACCGTACCGTCAGATCCAAACAAGTTAAATTTGCTTTCATCGCCCCCTTAAAACTGTATTCCATTGTTGTTCTATCCTAGTTAGATGAGTTTTAGCAAATTCAAGCCAAGCGATACGATTTTTGTTGACATGAGAGGCTTTTGCAATGGACGCCTACCAAAAATCCCAAAATCCATCAAGCGTCTCTGCACTGCACTCTTCAACGATTCTTGTGGCTGGAATTCGAGGGAAAAACGTTTAATGTAGCGATTCAAAACATAATCGTTTTTCTTCGGTCTTCCGCACCCGGGCCGCGCTGCTGTTGATATTTACTAATAATTTTCGAAATCGTCCCCTTGTTCATTTTTAATCTTTGAGAAATGTCAACATTTCTGACTTCACTTCTAAATAATTCAATTACTTTGTCTCTTAAATCTTTTTAAAATTCTTTTAATTGTGCCATTCTCATTGATCTTAATATTTACCGCACGCAATATCAGAGTATCGCAGAACGAATAAATACGGCAGCACGTGAAATATTTCCATACTTTTGTCGTTACAAAAACTGTGGTATTTCAAAAAAGGTGTTTTTATTTTCAGAGAATTTGAATATTGGTATGATAAACCTTGTAGTACAGGAGCCAAAGGTAGAACTTTAATATTTATATTATCTGTTCCTTCACAATTTTAATTTAGGTATATAAAATAGTTCATAATTATGGATTAAACGACTTACCTTAAGGAAGTTCAATCCAGATTATACGAGATTGGTCACATCCACATAGAACCACCATGTAATATAGCTGTGAGTGCGCCAGTGTTTAGATAAACGTAATCGCTGCCACCTAGCCTGTCCCGTCCCGTAGCACTGGTCATTATACTTCGGAGCTGGATATGATCGCTAATGGGAAGGACACGTCTTGCATATGTTTTTTTTAAGTAAACTGTTTAATAAATAGTGGGAATTTGGTTCTATTTGGATGTGACCAATCTCGTATAATCTGGATTGAACTTCCTTAAGGTAAGCCGTTTAATCCATAATTATACTTCGATTGGTCACATCCAAATAGAACCACCTTGTAGATGTTTAGAGAATTTAGCGATCCAATCATATCCCACGAAAACTTATGTTTATTTTCCAATATAATTTCCAACAATCGATTTATAATAAATCTATTTCCCAAAATATATTGGGTATATAATTATCTAATAAAGTAGTGCACTATCATTGTAACTGTTACATTTATATGTATGTGTATAATCCTAAGACTATAAAGTGACATATAAATCCGAACGCCCAGTTTAAATAGTTTTATTTTAATAAAAGTTGGTGAATGTATTTGTCTTACTGTAAATAACAAGTGAAAAAATGTTCAGCCTTATCAGTTGGACATTCCGGTTTTCATACTGCTTTTTTTTAATTCACTAACGCTCTAAAAATGAATATTTCAGCCGCAGTAAAGAATCAACGTTGGCGGATTTTGGTTCTTGACATTCTTTACGATCGGTTACGATGCCTAGAGTACGGAGACCTGTACGATTTCGTCAACTTTGTGTGAGTTTGATAGGGGCCGTATAGTGGGACTTCGGAAAGCTGGACTTTCTTTTCGGGCAATTGCAGTTAGAGTGCAAAGAAGTGTAGACACTGTGGTTAGGTGTTGTCAGGCATGGCTTCGAGAAGGCCGTACGCAAAGAGCAAGGGGCACTGGACGCCGCCGTAGAACAACAGACCGTGAAGATCGCCGCCTAAGATTATTGGCCTTAAGGGACCGTTTCTCCACTACCAGGTCCATTGCAAATGGATGGTTTGCAGAACACGGAAGACCTATTGGCATGCGAAGTGTTTACCGACGAATGAGAAGTTTTGGCTTGTTTTCATACCGGCCACACTGGGTCCTCCCTTTAACTCGAGAACACCGACGTAATCGCCTTGAGTGGTGCAGACAACGGTCACTCTGGGATCAGGAATGGAACAGTATTGTCTTTAGTGACGAGTCTCGATTTTGTTTAGGCATGCACGATGGTCGTGCCAGGGTTAGAAGGCGATGTGGTGAAAGAAGGAATCCACAGTTTTTTGTTGAAAGACATGTTCATCACACTGTTGGAGTTATGGTTTGGGGTGCTATAGCTTATGGTTCCAGGTCACCTTTAATCTTCATCAGAGGTAACATGAGTGCGTAGCGTTATATCCACGAAGTTCTAGAACCCCATCTTTTACCCTATCTTGACACCCTGGCAGATCCAACTTTCCAACAAGATAATGCCCGACCACATGTTGCAAGAGTCACAATAGACTTCTTTCAACATAATGATGTCACATTGTTACCATGGCCACCAAGATCTCCCGACTTATCCCCAATTGAGCACGTGTGGGATATGATGGGTAGGAGATTGCTCAATTTGCAACGTTCTCCTCAGACTCTAGAAGCACTTCGAGAGGAGTTGGTGGTTGCCTGGAATGAGATACCACAGGAGGACATTGACCACCTGATCAGAAGCATGCCTAGGCGCGTTGGAGAATGCGTAGCACATCAGGGTGCATCCACACATTATTAAAGGTCAAAGGGCTTAAAAGCAGTGCAATCATTTTGAAATTTTTATCATTTACTTATTATGCTTCATTAAGTACTTATACAAAATTTTATTAAAATAAAACCATTTAAACTGGGTGTTCGGACTTATATGTCACTTAGTATATTTGGCTAAGCTTAACGATATCATTATTGCAAAATTTCTTTTATATAATTAGCAAAATATCCTCGTTCGGGTCTATTATAAAATTTTGAAAATGCTTCTGACTTCTCTGACCACCCCGCTGCACTTTTGATGTTTAAAACATATATCCCAGTTTGCAATGCTGCTGTAGATGCTGCGTGTCGAGTGCTGTGGCCCTTAAATTTATTTGTGTCGATTCCACTCAGCTTTAGTAGATTTTTGATCCAACGACTGATTGTCTGTGGTGTAGCGGGGTGATGAGGTTTTTTATGTGTTAATATGAGCTGATCGTGATTGTCTCTCAGTAATTTCGGTTGAGCTTCTTTAGGCGTAGAAGTTTTGATAACATCCGTTATGTGTATCACTAGCTCATGTTCCTGGGTGCCAATATTACTTATTCTAATTTTGGATGAAGTCTGGGCTCTTTGTGCCGAATTCATTGCCAACAATATAACTAACTTTAGGGTAAGATCTTTCAGAGTGAGATTTTGTAGTGGGGATAGATTTTCTGCAAATGATAACACCGGAAGGGGATCCCATATCTCGTCGTACTTAGGAAACGTTGGCTTCATTGTGAACACTCCTTTCATAAACGTTTCTACCAATTCGCATTTCCCTAGATCCGATATAAGATTCAATGCTGATCGGTGAGTGTTTAGCGTATTGTAGTTAGCTCCTGTTTTGAATTGTTGATCTAAAAAATTAAGAACATTTGCTGTAGCTGGTGAATATATATTTTCAATGTTTCAACTACAAAAGCTCCACCATTTACCAAATGTACAGTTATATTGTTTCAGTGTGTTGGTGCTCAGAGAGGCCAGTAGAACCTCTAGGGCATCTCCTGTTATGCCCTTTTTGATGTATATCTGACAAAACTGCTGCTCCCAGAGTAATCTGTTGCCATAGCGGATGCGGTTCCCTAGATGGGCGAGGTTCAAGAATTACTATGGAGGAAATTAGCATAGATTCTAATTTTGGAATCCAGACCTCCGATTTCCACATCGGAAATACAACTATCCCTGCTGCTTCATCATCCTCCAATTTCTTTAAAACTTTGGACATTAGCGAAAATGGAGAAAATATATATGATTTGAATCCTGTTCAGCAGAGAGAAAATGCATCCACTGCTAAGCTTTGTGGGTCGGGATGCCATGACACAAATTTTTTACACTTGTTGTTAATGTGTGAAGCAAATAAGTCTATTTCTGGTATTCCCAACCTGCTTGTAATTATTTTGTAAGCTGTTTTATCTAGGATATACTCAGTGTCGATATTTTTTATTCTCGACCAACTGTCTGCCATGTGATTGTCTTTGGAGTTGATATAGCTAGCTAATATGATTACAGCTCTCTCCTCACACCACTTCCATATCGTAGGAGACAAGTCACTTAGATTTTTATATTTTGCACCCCCCCCCCATCCGATTTATCTATGATACTGCCGTTTCGTTATCGACCCTGAGCAAAATATAACAGTTGCGATGCTCCTTCGCAAAGGACTGTAAGCCAAAAAGGCCGCCTTAAGCTCTAGGATGTTTATGTGTTCTTTACATTCTGTAGCTTGCCAGAAACCATTAGTTGCCTGGTTATCATAGACAGCCCCCCACCCTAGCTTTGAGGCATCCGTAAAAATATGCATATCAAATTCTAGTGATTTGAGAGATTTCCCGGCCCTATCGATGGTATTTAGCCACCATAAAAAATCTTCCTTTAAATCGTGTGGTATTTTCATGGCCATGTTATAATTTTGATTGTTATGCCTTAAAGCTAGGTATTTGGTTCTTTCCATGTTTTTTGTGTATAACCAACCGTATGTCATTGCTGGGCAAACCGATACCAGATAACCCATAATTCTTGAAAACTCCCTAATTCTAATCTTGTGTTTTGAATTAATGTGTGTAATAAGTAATAAGTTGTTTTACTTTAATTTTCTTCCTTTCTGGAATACCCATTACCATTGTGTTTGTATCGAAGGCGAACCCAAGGAAGTCTGCTTTTTGTGATGGCCGGAGGCAACTATTTTGATAATTCATGATAAAACCCAGACTTGTCAATAATTCGCAGGTTTTTTCGATATTATTGCGACCCTGCTGTTCAGTCTTACTTATTAATAGGATATCATCTAGGTATCCAACTGACATTAGTCCATTACTACGTAATTTCGTGAGTACTGGCTTGAGAATTTAAGTGAAAACAAAAGAGGCCACTGAAAGTAAAACGGTAAGCTTTGAAACTCAAAAATATGCCTTGATATTCAAATCTCAAGTACCGCTTATGAATTTTCTGAATTGGTATTAAATAATAAGCATCTTTGAGGTCGACGGAGGCTAAATAATTTTTTTTAGAAACTAAATTCCTCACACTTCTGGAATCTTCAAGTTTAAAGTGTGGGGCACTAACGAATTTGTTTAACTGTTTTAAATTAAGAATGAATCTATTGCCCTCACTGGATTTTTTCCTCAAAAAATAGGATGATAGAAATTGATTTTTTGAAGGCTTGACCTGATTTATAGCACCAATTTTTTGCAATTGAAATATGCCCTTAGTGAATTGGTGTTGTTTCTCCAAATATTTGATTTTAACGTTCGGCTTGCGATACTGGTGAGGAGGTTTGCAGAAAGGTATTTTGAGTCCGCGAACCCACTGTAAAACTGTTTCGTTTTTTTTGTGAGTCTTCGCCATATTGGTATGAAGTCACCTATACGACCAGCATATTTAACCTCTAGCGGAGTTTCTTTGTTCTGTCCTCTCTTCTGTAATCGCTGGTGCCTTTCTTTGAGTAATCGTCGGTCCTGGGTTGTCTGCTCTTCGGCTGTTTGTTCGACCAGGTTGTCTTCTACCGTTTCTTGGTTGTGCCGCCTCTCCAGTTTTTTGACGTAGCAGATTGAGTAGCACGCATATCCTTGATAGTGTTTTCTAGCGTCTTCGCCATCTTGCTGTTTTCGCCAAAATCTTCTCCGAACAGAAGGGCGTCAATTCTTTGATTTGATGCAATCTTTTGGATCTTGCTGTTAAAATGGCGATTGCAATTTAATTTTCGATGTTTCGATATGAATTGAACCCAGCAACTGGCGTGCCTCTACCAGTTTTGTGAGATGAGAGAAGGTTTCATCTTGCGTTTCTTTGCCCATTGTGTCTGTTATTATAGCACCGAGGATTCCAATGCCTTTCCCCAAGTTGCCCTGAAGATCGTGTAGAAAAGAATCCTTCTTTAATTCAATAGGCGAGAGCATTGCATGGACCTCAAGATTGAGCTTAGGGCCCTGTAGCATCAAGCAGTTCCCAGGAATAGAAGATGATTCTAGGAGCTTCTTCCAAGCTTCTTTCTTTAGCCCTTGGCATAAATAGTTGTTCCAACGAATAGCAAGTTCATTGGAAATGTCTGGTCCCACATATTTCGATATGGTTGGGTCATCTCCCAGTATACCAGTAACATTCACGTCTTTCTTGGCTTCATCGATGCCGGACAAGGATGATGAAGAGCAAGACGTGGTGTCTGACTTACTGACCTCTGTATCGGATTCCGAACCTATGGCAGAAAGACATTCATGTAGGCTTAACTGCGCAGTCATTCACGAAGTGAACGTATTGCCAAAACCATGTAATTTCCTTTCCACTAACAGTCACTCAGCTTGCATGAGTCGAAGACCATGCGGGATTATAGTGATGACATATTGTGTGGCTCACGGAGTGAACAAATCTCTGCTAAAAAATATCCCTCAAAGAGGGATATTTGACCCTATCATAGTGGAATGTACTTACTAGAAGAGTCCAACTTCATTGAACGTTCCAGCTTCCTCAACTTCTCAAACTCTTCCTTCTGCAATTTACGTTTACGGCTCATTGTTGCACGATATTACGCCCGACGAAAAAACCGCACAAAAACAATAAACACTTGACTCACTTCACTCAGCGTCAGAAGTATAATGACCAGTGCTACGGGACGGGACAGGATAGGTGGCAGCGATTACGTTTATCTAAACACTGGCGCACTCACAGCGTTAAGGGGTGGTTCTAATTGGATGTGACCAATCGAAGTATAATAATGTTAATATTTGTTTCCCAACTTTTGTCCGCTACTGTACATATAGTTTCGACCATGTGCGCCCGCTGGAATTTTTCTCAGGTGAAGGAAGAGTGTCATTTATCGGCAAGGGATAACTTTGTATGAAAGTCTTACCTCCCTCCAAAACCTTTTGTAGAGCGAGGGTAGCATATGTTCTCAAGGGGTCAAATCCTAGAGTCATAAAATTCTACATAAAAGGATGAAAAATACGCAAATTTCAATTCAATGAGCCCTTTTGACCGACTTGATTCTATTAACCTTATTGTTATACATATTCATAGCTCTTTTTTTCTCAGAGGGACTAACTTGTGCGAGCACTATCCTTCATGAATTGATGGCAGCGTTGTGTATCTACTTGACGCCATTTTTTTCTGGAATTCTAGAAGTCCTGCACTATATCAGTCTCGTAAAAGAAAAAGGTGTCCGGTAATTCACTTGACATAACAAATTACATATAAATTTAATCCACGACTCTTGTGACGTTAACCTCACGCGTCGAATGTCCTGCCTAATCTTTGATGGCAGATATAAAAACATCCCTTCTCACCAATTCCCAGTTCGATGTAGGTCACGAAGAGGCGTAATGAAATTGGCATTTAAGCTTCTCAAATGGGCTTCTTGAGGAAACAATTTCCCGGCTCGCTTGAGAGGCTTCACTTTGGAAACATAACTGTTATCTTTGTCCTTATCCTCCTTGTGAAGGAATAAGAGATTGTTATTTTCACAACCGACCAAATACCATTCATTAGCGTTGGAGGGTGTCGTATCGCTGGCAAATCTCGCGTTTTCGTGCCTCTGAACGTCAAGTTTATGTGAATTGGTCTTAAGTACATAGTTTTGGTTTCCGCGCATAGAGGGTGGGTGGAAAAAAGTGAAATCTAATATTGTTCAAATTATTGTAAAGTGCTATTACTGGTTTTCAAATGGTAAGTAGACAATCACCTACTATAGTCGACTGCATCAAGCGGTTACAGTGATGAGTCAGCAGTCGACGCGAACTGAGATGCCTTAAAGTCTCTTTTAAAACTCTCACAGTGGTCGATTCTGCTAAAAGATGGCACTTTGTGCTGTCGTATCTTGTATTCTCTACTATCGTTTGCATTCCTAGCTATTATGTATGTATCGACGAAAGAGACTAAACCAAAACAGTGATCATCGCGTGATTATTGCGTGATCAGTACACTGATATGTTTCAAGAGAGAGGCAACATAACTGTTATTGAGCAGAATAGGTCGAGCCCTTACACAAAACCAATGACAAACCAGAGGGCGGAGTGGGAGACGATACGACCGTGCAGGCCGGCTGTACCGGTGGATGGCCGTACAGTACAGAGTTAGCATCAGATTTATACTGGTATTACTGTGTGTCTATTAGATTTGTCAGTTTATTTTCGTAGAACTCAAAATGACTGATACGGATACAGCTGATAAAGTTCTTGGTATAATCTGCACACCGCCTCAAAAAAGAGCTAAAAGGCTTCATTTTAGCGTTAGCGAAAAACTAATTATTATAAACATTTATAAATACAAAATGCAAGGAAGGAGTGACTCAAGTGTTCAGGACATTGTTTGCAAAGCTGACACTTACATATTTTTCAATGCTTGTAAGACGAGGAATTTCAACTAAAATTATATTTTATTTTTGTTTTTGTACATGCTTGAACTATATCGAGATAAGAAATCAAGCAATCATTTCGTTGGGTTTTTAATGCTTCCAATAGGAGCGGTTTTAAAGTGTCAAAACTGAATTATTTTTAGGAAAATGTAAGCGATGGATAATTTGTGACATCGGTAATGAAGATTGATATGTGCCCGATGCTTTATGGGCATTTAAATCCAAAGAAACGGGAGACTACCATGAAGAAATGGATGGGACCTCGTTCGAAAATTGGTTCACAAATACTCTACCGAAGCTTGAAGATAATTCGGTTATAGTATTAGATAATGTTTCATTCCACACGAGAAAATTCCAACAACGTCAACAAAAAAAATAGAAATTCAAGGATGGCTTAAAATAAAAAGATTGATTATGATGATACAACGGTTAAGGCAGAATTGTTACAAACTGTGAAGACGCATAAAACTAAATATAACCTGAACATAATTGATGAAATGGCCAAAAAACAAAATAAAACTGCTGATTCCCTCCTTACCATTGTGAGCTCAATCCGATTGAGCTCATTTAGGCAGACATGAAAAAATATGTTGCAGCAGAAAATAAATGATTAAAATTTTCTGACCATAAAAATATTTTTCATGATGCTATACAAAGAATAACATCGAATAAGTGGGAAAATGTATCAGCATGTAAAAGAAAAGGTTGAATCTAAAATGTGGGAATTAGACGGTATCATTGATAGTCACACGTTGCCCCTTCAATCACAAATGTTGATGACAGTGGGAGTTCCACGGCCTCAGATCTAGAACGATTTTCACTTTCAAACATATGTATTTCCGGTTTTAGAGGTAAAATGTCTGTACAATAAATTTTTGTATAATATTTAGTATATATTATTATGTATTCAAATCTTTTTTCTTTTAACTCCACCTAACTATTCATTTTTTCGTCTAATATTAAAATTAACTGTTTGCACACTGACGTCCCTGTTCAAGTGGTGGTTAGGTATACTTGTATGCATATGCAATTATCGTTTTAATGAATCAAGACATTTTTTCAAAGTGTGTTTTATAAATACGCCTTACGACACATTTCGAGTATAATTTCTTGATAAAAAACTTCTACTAAAAACAACAATAGACAGTTGTTTTATTTTTGGTCATGACAGTTAAATTAAGAAAATAAATATAAATAATAATTCCCAGCTTTACGTTTGGATTGCATACTTTTTGATCGTGTCGTATAACGCCAAATCATTTATTCTTAGTACGGCCCTGTAACGTGCTCGGCGTTCTGGAGCGCGATCACATGGAGTATACGTGAATATGTTTAGGTTTGGTCTCTTTCTTCGATGAATACATAATAGATACGACTTCTAGAGGATTTGCAATAAGCATGAAATAGCTGTACTTGATTCTCCCTGTGATGGTACGAGTAGTATAATAAGTATAAAGTGCTTCTTAAAAAATAGTATGTTGTATACATACAATAAATATGTTACGGTTTGAGAATCTTTTGACATCGACAGTTACTTCGGACCGATGACTCCAATGATGCCGGATCTAACAGAATTCCCCTAGAACAAGCAAAAAAATCCCTCAGACTCGCAACTTTTTTAATAAAATTCTCCAAATCATATTTTTTCTGTAGTCGAGTGGTGTGTCTATAGAGCTCGACTAGTTGACTACGGGAGGAGAAATAATATTAAAAATAATTTTCCAACGAATTGAGACTATTTCTAAAACTTATCAGACCTACTCGTTTCTTGAGGTGACGCATGAACGTCAGACAATACGCGCATTCGCAATTACTTTGAGACTTAGGGATTGAGAAATCGCAGATCCGTGGATCTACAAGACGAATAAGTGAGCGCAACATCGCGGAAAAGACGAGTATTCGTCCAGTTCGTTTTCCCGAAACACGCGTGTGAGGCAAAGCTAGTTAAATCAACCGGGTAGTTAACAATTTATTATTCTGCTGTTTATATGTTTCCTCTGACTATGGATGTATGTCTACCAATCTACAATATTGACATAAAGGTATAGAGATGGGTCAGTATAGATGTTTTGGCAAGATGGGTGCGACATGGGAAAAGAAAAAGCTGCTGAAAGATAAAATTGTTATTTAGCAGTTTTTCGTAGTTAAAATGGAATAAAACATCCTAAAAATACCCAACAATTTTATTTTTCCCCAAAAAATAATCCCTCAGAACATGTTATCTCCCAAAATTTCCCCAAAAAACGTAAAAATCCCCGAATTTGAGTGAAACTCTTAATCTGGCCACCCCGGATGTCTCAAATTGGACCGTTCTATGTTGGGTAGTCAGGGTTCATTTAAAGATTCGTTTCATTGCCGGACCCGTTCCAACAGATTCGTTCATTTCGTTCATGTTTCATAACACCGATGATTGATAAGTAATTCACAAAAATAGCATGCCATCTAGTTTTCAGTTCTATATCAATGCATATCCTACATTTTGTAACTAAACGTTAGAGACTTTATTATTCATACAAATTATATGTTAGCTGCAAGTTTATTCTAGTCATTACCGCTCATTTCTTGTACAGCGTGGCCGATATGTAACTGTCTGCTTTATCTTCAATATTTGTGAAATGAAATAAAATACGCCCTTTGTTTTCATCTTTATCTTTTATTGGAACTTAGAAATTATGATTACATTTTCCATCACTTTTTGGTAGGTTTCGGGAAGAATATTTTCAGTCGCTTAGTAATATGATTCTTCAGCTGCTCTACAGTACTTGGTTAGTTGGCATAAGCCCTATTTCTCAAAAATCCCCCCAAAAAAGGTCAGGAGCCGTTAAATCCGGTGACCTTGGTGGCCAGTTGACATCGCCAAATCGAGAAATTAAACGTCCCGGAAATATTGTTCTCAAAAGATTCATTGTTTCCCTAGATGTGTGACAAGTTGCTCCGTTCTGCTGGAAGCACTTGTTTTGCAGGTTAAATTGTTTTATCTGAGGAGCCAGAAAGTTTTGCACCATGTCACGGTAGCGCTCGCCAGTGACAGGAATGGAATTACCTGCAGCGTCTTCAAAGAAGTAGGGTCCAATGACAACTCTTTACCAAACACAGCACCAAACTGTGACTCGACGAGAATGTAGTGGTAGAGGCTGACACGAGGGTTCTCTAATGCCCAAAAATGGCAATTATACTTATTAACAAATCCGTTCATATCGAAGTGGGCTTCATCGCTCATTATCAGTTGTCGGTAGAAATCATTTGTTATTCGCTAACGCTGTATGCGTATCAGACATTTTGAGTTCTACAAAATTAAACTGACAAATCCAATAAGCACACTGTAATACCGATATAAATCTGATGCCAACTCTTTAGTGTATAAATATACGTATATAGCATTAACGGCCAGTCACCGGGCCACTCCACCCTCTGCCCAATAACAGTTATGCTCCCTCTCTCTATTTTGGGTATTAAGCTGTAATATTGCATGATTGTATTGTCGGCGATGGTCACTGGGCTGTAGTTCTTGTTTTAACTAAATTTTGTATGGCCGCAAATGCAAGTCTTTTTTTACTCGTAAGATAGTGCATAATGACATGGACGAATACCCAGTTCTTGAGAACGATGTCTGGTAGATATCTCAGGGTACTCCACTACACTTTCACGAACTCTCTCGATATTTTCCGGGTTACGAACAGTTCGAACACGGCCCGACCTTGACAAGTCTTCACCTGTTCGTTCAAATTTCCGCACCAACTGACGAATGGTGTTGACACTAGGCACATTATTTCGACTGAAATCTTGTCGTAGCTTCCGAATCGTTGCAAAAATCGACTCATTATTTAAGTAAAACGTTTTATCAATCCGGACCCGTTGTTGGATCGTGTAGCACTCCATGATGAATTTGACACATCTGTATTAAACAACTGCTACCGCATCACCTACTGAGTTGCGGGTATCAAAAATGCAGCGCAATTTAAATCAATCAGTTATATATTGGCCACCCTGTATATTCGGAACCGTTCAGAGGTTAAGCCTAAAGCATACTCGAACATGCCATTCATATGATTCGCACATTCGCCGTTATTCTATTGTGCCACCAGTGACGTTCCTGCAAAGCCTTGAGATACTTCTTACAAATAAATTGTTTTTAATGCGAATGATAGCAGTTTTATTCATGTATAGATGATGACGAACTTTTTCGTAAAAATGTCACAAGATACGTTTGCAGAGATATAGCAATCGAATAGCGTTTCACACCAAAATGTATCATTGTGTATTACCTTATAATATGCTGCATATTAAAATAATACCTAAAGTACTTTCGAAGATATACAATAAAAATATTTTTTTCCCAAAAGATCAACACCTTTTAACTGAAACATTGCGGACATATGCTCATGAAAACTTTTCTTCACGAAATCGACTTAGGAATTATATCCTTCCTGTATGTTTTGGAGGTCAAAAGTACAGGGTGTTAATAAAGTATGTAGACAAACTTCAACTATCGAATCCTTGGTCGATTTGAAGACTAAATGTTCACATGAACATGGGTCCGTATCGTCTTTCCTTTCGAGCTAGAGAAAGAAATACGAGTAATGTACCAAATAGTTGGTATAACCTATGATAAATTTTGCATGTTTTACAAGTTGCTGAGGCTCTATATGAACGTTGATGAAAATAGTATTCTCCTGTATTTTTGGAAAAAAAATATTTAGAAGGTCAATAGCTTTGAACATTAACATTCGAATAGAACGACAACAATATAAAAAAAAAAACGGAAAGGTTTTTTTACAATAAGTGTTCAAATTGACGACCTTCGACTTCAATACAGGCGTCTAGTCTGTTGGATATTGACTGACGAACTCTCCTGAAAATACCCGGAGTATTTTGTATAGTCAGACATGGCTCGACAATTCTGACACGTAAGTCCTCCACGCTTTGAACAGGAGTCTTGTATACTAATGATTTCAAATGTCCACATAAAAAGAAATCGATAGGATTCATGTCAGGCGATCTAGGCGGCTATGACTGTGTTCCGTCTCTTCTAATTCATCGATTTGGATAATAATCTAGGTATTCTCGTGCAACGACACTAAAGTGTAGCGGAGTACCGTCATGCATGTACCACATGCGACGTCGTTTTCTAAGAGGAATTTCCTCCATTAATCCAGGTGGGTCAAATTCCAAAAATCTTCGGTAGTCTTCGCCGCTAAGTCTGGGAGAAGGAAGTGAGGGCCAATCAAGTGGTCGCTAACGACTCCAATCCAAATATTGAAGGGCAGGTCGTGTTGCGTATTATGTTCAATTCTATCATGGGGATTTTCTTTACACCATACATGGTTATTATGGAAATTAACTATTGCTGTTCGCAAAAAACATTTTCACGTAAAAAGTTGCAAAACTCAACTTTTATAGGCAAATCTCGAGGCAAAAGCGCTTGTACACGTTGTATATGATATGGATACCGTTACATGGTTTAAATTTAGCTGGTGCGCAATTTTTCGTGTACTTGTTGTAGGGTCCTCTTCGATTTTATTAAGTACAGCTTCCTTGATTTGGATGGTTCTTACACTTGCGGGTCTTCCTGCAACATGTGTGGATCTCTTGAAACTGTATGTTTCACATAGTCGAACATGAATGTTGATGATAGTTTGTACATTAGGCAGTGGGCGTTGTGGAAATCGATCACCATACAAACGTCGTGCTCATCGAGCGTTACCCAGGACCATTTCTTAAACGAACTGCATAACTGTCATTTCGAGATTACTGACTATTATGACAATTAGTAATAAAAAAAAACTTAGAAATATTTGGAGTCTTAGAATGACCAGACAAGAAAACAAATATTTGACAGCTGTCGAATTATTTGAGAGAATAAATTAATTCATTTTGTTTCGAGTACGTCATAGGTGTCTAGATAAGCACAATTCTTAAATATTATAAGTATTGCGATCAAAACAAATCAATGTCAGGTTTTTTTTCAAAAAATACTGGATCCTTATCTACGTACATGAAGGGTCTGAAAGCAACTGTAAATCAAGTGATATTTACCACAGGGCATTCTTAATTAAAATAAAATACGTTCCATTCTTTTATAATTTTTTAGAACAATATCATTTCTTTGAGTGCTAGCTTGAAAACAAAGCCGTTGCGGACGCATGTTCATATGGAAATTTCGTCTTCAAATTGACCAAGGACTCGATGGTTAAAGTTATTATTGCCATGAACTATGCTGTGGAAAAAATCTGGAGTGAAACACGAATGATTTTTTTATCTTTGGCTAGGTGTTTTGGTTCTTGAACCACTGTGCGTTGTCTTTACACATTGAGGCATATCGGATAAACTTAGACAATGGCAAAATATGGACCAAAACTACTCATCTACTAGGGGTCATCTTACTAGGGCCAATTTTTTGTTACAGCCTGTACCTCTATCGCCTAAGACTCCCGCTACTGCGAAGCAAAATACCCCACCAACTGCCAAAAACGAATGTCGATTCACCTTTGAACTCACTAGGCCACATGTACTACCCACCGCAAAATCAGAGGTAAGAACTTAATCACAGATCAGTAAGCAATTTTCAATTCGTAGACTTTAAGATATGTAGCTTTCAGCTGGATACAAAGAGCGTCAAGTGCAGGTCATAACAGCTCTTTCTTCAACACCTCGACAGTTATACAGGATGCTTGTTATGCAACCATCGAGACCTCTACTGGTTACTATGCTGTCACAATTGTGTTCAGTATTCAGTTAAGAGGTGATTTGACAAAAAATGTCAGAACCGTCGTTTAGGAAACTGTATCTCAGAAACGAAGCGGCGTTTTAAAAGTAGTCACAGAAAAAATAGTCCTAGAATAGTCTATTCCTTGATATTTTTTCAGTTTCAAGAAAATACCCTGTTTACCATGCTATGCAACAGTGTCTTCTAAGTACTTCTCTCCTTCAGCTCTATTGCCAGAGGTTTTCATATCGCGTGCCTGAGCTTTAGTCGTCCCATAAATGGTTAAATAAGTAGCTATTTTGTCAAGATGTATGTAAAACAGGCGTAAAATACACCTCTTATCGAACATATTTTAGAGCTTTTATCGACTTTTCTAATAGTATATAATTTTAAAAAAAGTAATTCAGTCGATCGTTACCTCATAGTTATCAGATGTAACCAAACCTGACTGTGAACTAAATAAAAAGTGCTTGTCTATAGGCTAGGCAAAGTGGCGAGCAATATTAGGAGTAGTTTAGTGGCAAACGATTTAGGTCAAAGCCCGAAATACTCTTGTGTGTCGAACCTTAAGTACGTCCTACTTGTAAAGGTACGCGTCTACGTGTCCACATGGTACACATCAAAGAAGGCCGTGCCACCACATACAACACATCTAGAAGTAACAAAATAAGACTTTCTGTGAACAATAATTAGTCTCCATGTCAGAATCCCTCGATTGATGAGCTTCCATGCTAGATAAATGCGGATTTTAACTTCAGTTGTACAGTAACGATGTGATGCTGCTTATGTTTCATATGGTCATTTTTCAACACTAACATAATAAGCAAGCAGCACCTTAATTCCAGGGCTAACTAAATTCAAATAGCACGTCGTCTGTTAAATGCGCCCATTGAAACGGTGAATCCCTTCTTAGTCTACTGTGTGTCCCTCAAAGGAAAACATGCCGTATTTTCTCGTGATTGAAATTAATACTAGAGGTCCGTGTATTTTGGCCTTACCTCTCTTCCTACAAATCCTTCTTGCTTATGTACAAATCCCAGTAGACACGAAGAAAAGGGATAAGGTTGGTAATTTGAAAGTAGCCGGAAACATAGGGTGCCAGCTTTAACTTACGTGAAAGTGAGAAGAATGAGAAGGTCAATTCCAAGCTGTTATAGCTGGATTTAAAACTGCTACCAATTTTCTGAAAAAAAAAGGTTCAATTTAGATATAATAGAACTTACGGATGCTCTATTACTATTATGTATCCATCGAAGAAAGTGACTAAACCTAAACATATTCACGAATACTCCACGTGATCGCGCTTCAGAACGCCGAGCACGTTACAGGGCCGTACTAAGAATAAATGATTTGTGGTTTTACGACACGATCAAAGAGTATGCAAAATTATCGCAGGCATATATACGGTCCAATCGTAAAGCTTGGAATTAATATATTTTTTAATTTAACTGTCATGCCAAACAAACAAAAAACTGTCTATTATTGTTTTCAGTAGAAGTGTTTTATCAAGAAATTATACTCGAAATGTGTCGTAAGGCGCATTTTTAAAGCAGGCTTTTAAATAATGTCTTGACACATTAAAAAAATAATTGCATATTACTACCGCTTGAACAGGTACGTCAGTGTGCAAACACTCAATTTAAATATTAGACTAAACAGTGAATAGATAGATGGGGTTAAAAAAGATTTGAATACATAATAATATATACTAAATAGTATATAATAATTTATTGCAAAACATTTTACCTCTGGAACCGGAAGTACATATATTTGAAAATAAAAATCATTTTAGATCTGAGGCCGTGGAACTCGCACTGTCAACAAGATTTATGATTAAAGGGGCAACGTGCGTATCAATGATGCCGTCTAATTCCCACATTTTAGGTTCGACCTTTTCCTTTACATGCTGAATACATTTTTCCCACTTATTCGGTGTTATTCTTTGTATCTTTGTATAGCATCATGAAAAATATTTTTAAGGTCAGAAAATTTAAAAGTTTTATTTTCTGCTGCAACATTTTTCATGTCTGCCCAAATGAGCTCAATCGGATTGAGCTCACAATGGTAAGGAGGGAATCAGCAGTTTTACTTTGTTTCTTGGCCATTTCATCAATTATGTTCAGGTTATATTTATTTTTATGCGCCTTGACAATTTGTAACAATTCTGCCTTTAACCACTGTATCATCATAACCAATCTTTTTATTTTAAGTCATCCTTGAATTTCTGAATTTATTGTTGCGTTGTTGGAGTTTTCTCTAATTTTCTCGTGTGGTATGAAGCATTATCTAATACTATAACCGAATTATCTTCAAGCTTCGATAGAGTATTTGAGAACCAATTCTCGAACGAGGCTCCATCCATTTCTTCATGGTAGTCTCCCGTTTTTTTTTTCGGATTCAAATCGGACACAAATCCATCTTCATTACCGATGTGGCAAATTATCAATCGCTCCCCTTTTCCTGAAAATAATTCATTTTGAACAGTTAAAAACCGCTCCCATTGAAAGCATTATTAAAAACCCAACAAAACGATTACTTGATTTCTTATCTCAATATAGTTTAAGCATGTACAAATACAAAAATAAAATACGATTTTAGTTCAAATTCTTCAACTTACAAGTATTAACAAATATACCAGAAATACGTACGTATGTGCCTTGAAATATTACCTGAGGGATTTTTTAATCCAGGGTATAGTCCATTTAAGGACGCTTGCTTTGAAGATTTTATGGAAGAATCCATCCAAACCTTCGCCTGTGTATGTCCTGCGTCCACCCATGTTTCATCTAGGTAGTATATTTTCCTACCTTGTGCACGAAATTGTCTCTTTTCTCTTAGGTAGTTCCTTCTCCAGATAACTATTTCATCTTTTTCCAATAAGAGGCTGTTTCTTCCCCGCTTATTGTATTTCTTTTAATAATTTATGGAAGGTAGATCTCTTGAAACTTGGCAAGTCATTATCCTCGTTAACCAGCTTCAGCACTTTATCCACCGTTGGTAATTCATTACGAAAGAAAAAATTATGTGCAGATACTTTTTTGGGTCGACCAGTAAATGGTTAAATCAATTCGGTAAACATTTGCACGAGTAACGCTCGAAATACTTGCTACTTTGCAAACAATGTTCTGCACACTTGAGTCACTGACAAATCTAATAAGCACCCAGTAATACCGGTATAAAGCTGATGCCAACTCTGTACTGTATAAATATATGTGTATATATATATACTATATATAAAGAGAAAATAATCATGCGGGCTTGAAGTACCACAGCAAGTGGCTATAACCGGCCGCGTGGTTGTGGTTAGATGTCGCCTTGAAAATTCGAGGCCTTCTAGCTATTTTATACTACAATGTGTAGGTTGGCTCTTGTTGTGGACTTCGTGTGTGATTTTTTCCCATCCATCTTTATTTCTTCAGGTTACACCCGTATCCGGATGTATGAGTATGTATCTACTTTTGTAGTTGCATATGTGCATTCATTTCGGGCCTGATGAAGCCAACCAGCAGAAATACGTATCGCTCGGGTTACCTATCCTATTTTCTGCTCGAATCCACTTTCCTCCTTTTTGCGGATTTTGCCCATTATTTTCCTATTTTTTTGTTATATATATGTATATAACTTGAGACGTGGTCCTTGTCGTCTAGACCAGTTTGGTGAAAAATTAAAGCTTCCGCCTTTTGTTGGGTACTTCGACAAAATTTAAGCAAAGAGGACTCTTTATACTTTTTTTAATTCTCTCTAGCTTTCAATGGACTTTGCCATCATCATCAGGAGCTGCAATTACAATGATAACAGTATCAACAAAAGTGTAAAATGAATTTAAATTGAATCAACTTACAGTAGTATGTGAGGATGTTGCTAATTGTTGTTTTCGTATAGGATGAGGGAAACGTCCAGTAACATGGTGAGAGCTGGATACATGGTACAATGGTTAAAATTATATAAAATATGACAAGACAAGTTAAAGACAGATTAAAAATTATTTAGAAAACATTAGAGCATTACGTCGTGAAGCCACTTGATGATTGCACAAAATGGTGGTCATGGAATAATGAGTGAGATGAACCTTTGACAGAAGGCCGAAGGTTGTCAATGTCTGTGTTGAAAGATGGAACGAATTGTGGGCGTGTGCCAATAAAGAAAAACACCTTTCCAAACGTTTATTCCCGGAAATGTCCCACATTTTCATGAATAACAACTGTATCAACAAAAAGACAGATATTAAACAACTGAGTGTCATTTACTCATATTTGCTAAACTGCGAAAAATTGGAGAACTTACATATCTACCCAAATTTTGACTCTTCACAACCATAAATAGAATCTGTGTTCTGGCCGATTCCACCAACAAATTTCATTCCACTCAAAATCTAATAATTCTCTTCTCACGATTTATTAATAATTGTTAATTTAAAATTCCCATTAATTAAAATATAGTTTATTCAACTGCCTCTGGTCGGTTTAACAATTTCTTACATAACATTCTGAAAATCACATCATCTGAAGTGATTTGGCAACGTTTTGGCACACGCCCACAATTCGTTCCATCTTTCAACACAGACATTGACAACCTTCGGCCTTCTGTCAAAGGTTCATCTCACTCATTATTCCATGACCACCATTTTGTGCAATCATCAAGTGACTTCACGACGTAATGCTCTAATGTTTTCTAAATAAAATATATATATATATATATATATATATATATATAATAAAATCTGTCTTTAACTTGTCTTGTCATATTTTATATAATTTTAACCATTGTACCATGTATCCAGCTCTCACCATGTTACTGGACGTTTCCCTCATCCTATACAAAAACAA